CTCAAGCCGTCGTGCCGTTGGCGCGACGTTCAATCTCGTTGAGCAGGAGACTTGCCCTTCCTGGGTCCTTTCCCATACACTTGCCTCATCGCCTTCTTTCTCCATGTCCCCAAATATATACACTATGACGAACGAGCATGGCACTAAAGCATGCGGTGTCTTGCAACGATGCACTTGAACTACCTTGAGCGATCCCGCACCCGCACGTCTCAGTCGCACGTTGTCAGTCAAGCGTCCAGCGGCAGTCACCAGCGGCAAGTAGTCCTACCTGTTCAGGAGGCCTCGACGACCCCGCAGCCTGCTTGAAGCGTATAAATAGCTCACGCCTTTCGAAGGATCGCTCTTCCCACCCTCCCTTCATACACCATACATTTCTTTTTTTTTGTGTGACAATCTCACACTCGCAGACCTCTGCACTTTGACCACACCTTTCTGCTCCTCGGTAGCACGAAACCTTTCAACTCGAACCTGCACGCTTCACAACGAGCTTTGCCAACAAGCCCTTTCAGCTTTGCTTTACTCTGGCACACACGTCATCAAATTGCTCTTTTTGCTTGCCCGTCTGCCTGCAGCTTCCACTCTCCCTCTTATCTTAGCATCCACAGCATTCACCAACATGCACTTCTCAGCGCTCGTCGTTGCCGTTTTGGCACCTCTCGCAGTCATCGCCTCACCAGTGCCCAAGGTCGACGAGTCGGCGGATGTAATGGCTATCCGCGCTATGGAGTCATGGGCATGGCAAGAGCCCGTGATGGAGAGAAGCCCATCCGACCCTGAGCTCATCAAGCGCATCGTCTACAACCCAAAGATCACTAGCCCTACGGCAGAGACTGTGTGGAATGCAGGACAGACTTACAAGGTCACCTGGTGAGTGTCGTCGATATTGCACGCACGTGAAGCATTTGCTGAAGCCATCGCGCACGTCGCTCACCACTTGTGTCGTTCCTTTCGCAGGTCGACCGACGACATCCCAGCCGATGCGAAGGAGTACAAGGGCACGGTCAAGCTTGGATACGAGCCCGCCGACGGCGAAGGTGGCCTCAACTTGAAGAAGACTCTTGCCAAGGACTTCCGTTTGACCGACAACGAGGTGGAGGTCACCATCCCCGAGGACCAAGAGGAGAGATCTGACTACATCATCGTCTTGATGGGAGACTCCGGCAACGCCAGCCCGCACTTCACCATCAAGCCAAAGTCTGACGCCCCTTCGTTCTTGAACATCGAGGAGCTTTTGGATCAAGCAAGTGAGGCTTGAGACACTTCTCTCGTCGCTCTCGCTACCGTCGTCTCGCGCTCTGGCTCGCGCTACTCGCCGCCTCATCAAGCTCTCGACCATTGCTCCAGTTTCAGATCATATCGCCTCTTAGCCCAACATGCTTCTAATCTCTTCTCTGCATCCACCTATCCATACCGGACATTGCTTCTCGGCCTCATCTCCACAGGACGCTCTTAAGCACCACCTCGGCTGCACACATTTTCCCGACTCGGCCCCGACGATCGCACTCGTGCTCGCGGCTCTTTCACGTTGAGCGATTTGCGCTGTTGCCTCGATGTTGTTCATGCCTCGCTACAACATTCTATCTATACTGCACTTCCCTACTTGATGTAGATTATACTGCTATCGCCTATCAGCTTATCCATCACGTGCAATCACGATGGCATATCACCCTTATTTATGTTCACATGTGTGGTGACTTCAGCGAAATGAGAGGGCAGCGTGCTCGTCGCCTACGTCCGGCTTTGAGATGCGGAGGTCGATGCTGATGCGTGATCCGCGATCAAGGTGTCCAGTGTGGAAACGCGAGCTGCAAGTCCACGCAGAGGTTGGTATATTGAGCACAGGACAGGAGACAAGACGCCTTGATGACGGCTGCCCAAATGCCCACACGTCGTCCCTGCGCTGCAGGCACAAACCCTGCTCGGTCCGCGCTGCTTCACTCCAACGGTTTATGGAGGTCAAGTCCTCGAATGATCTCCTGCTCGGATAGCTCTCCGTCGCTTTGACTTGACTGATTGGCCACTGATCGATGTGCGATTGCGCGTTCACACTTGTCCCCATATGCTCTAGGGCTTTATCACAGATTCGTACGTACTCTGTGCAAGGAGCCGCCCACGCCGACGCGAGCCCCTTATCATCGTTCTACGTGGTCTTATCTCGCGACGGGAACGATCGCGCATGGCATGTCGGCCTGGCATCACACCTTCTGGGGAGAGCTCGAATGGAAGAATCTGATGCATGGAAGAAACGCGGAACACACAATCTTCTGGATCAGAGGGACCTTCGTAGCTCTCGAGGTCTCCTTCTCGAAGAGCCTCATGAACGGTCCGGCCCTTTCGAGTGCCCCTGCCTGCTCGTGATCGTTATCTTGCCGATACCCCGCCGTTCCTGTGTACACTCTGCAGAATCAATTGCGGCACCCTTTCTTTCGCATAGCAGCAGGGTGCTCGCTGCTGGGTTTCAGCAACGTAACGAACTACAGTAGGCCTTGCACGCCACACCTGCAGCTTGGCGCTGCTTATCACCCATCTCGCGCGAGAGCCAGCTTTGATGTGTGGCGCTCTAGTGCCGCACTCGTGACTTGTGGCTACCGGTAGCGAAGATGAACATTGCATGGACGCTAGACTGCCACAGCGAATCGCTTCCCGCAAAACGTCGAGCGCTCGTGACTAGTCTGGTGCACACTCGGCCGGCCTGTTAATGACCACGCCGCGGGTCAGTCACACCCCTCAGCGCTGTGTAGCTCATACTCTGACTGCACATATATGTTCAGATTGCTGAGTGAGATCAATCGTGAAGGTGGGTGCAATAGCTCAGATCGTAGTGCAGTGCACGCGGATCCAAGGTCGGCCACGGACTCTTGGCCGCGCGCCCCGCGGGACCATCAGTTGCGCGCCTCTCGCGCAATCTCGGCTGCCTCACCGGAAATGAGAAAAATGTTTGCGCTGGGTCCTGACTACTGAGTTTCGACGGAAGTGGTCCGCGTTCAGCACTTTGCGCTGACTGGCTCACAGAGCTCAAGATGAAGTGTTGATGAAGGCTTATCTGCTGTTTAGCCTTGAGCGAAGCGGCGGAGCGGAAGGCAATCAAAATGGGTGAGGCTCTGATCACAATTCGTCGCGTGGTTCGACGATCCTCCATAGAAGCCCATGATGCATGCGCGGCGCGCTCGCCTCTTGCCTGATGGACATGCAGCATGGGCACTCTGCTGCGCTGATTGACACAGCCGCCGCCGCGGAAGCCCGACGAGGACGCAGACCAGATCACTTCGGTGATTAGAAGATAGGCGCGGTAAACACAAACATGACCTTGCTGCTGCGCGAGTGCGCGTGTCGTACGTAGCTGCTGAATTGCGATCCGATAAGAATCAGAATCTTGAACACATAATAATAATATAGGCGCGCGCACTGCGGAATTTTTGCAACGTTGCCTAAGCTGCTGGTATCAACATGCGTAAGCCAGCGCGAAACCTAGACGGGGAAGGCTGCGTGAGATCGAGTGTGTCCAAGCCACTCACAGTTCCAGAAAGAGCGCGCGATCTTATAGGAGCCTCGATCGGAGTCTTGACTAGAAGAGAGACAGATGACAGACAACCTTGTCTTTGACTGCGTGAGCCCCTGCGTGAGTCGTGTATAGCTATGGCAGCAGAGATTGATGCTAGGGATTTCAGCCTGCTGCCCACGCTGATTAGAGAGAGATCATTCAAGTGTCGCGAATGTGATGGGCTCATCCGGCATGCAAAGTCTGCAACAGCACCGATCCATCACTCACGACTTGCGCTACTGGGGCTCGTTAGCCATCGAGCAACGGAGCTCAATTGGCAGGGCGAGATACGAATCAAGAATGTTGGCATCACCGTCCCCAGAACAACAAGCGATGTTCATGGCAACCAAAGGTGCAAGCCAAAGTGTGCTCATACCGAACGTCGGTCTGCTCTGCGAGCTTGTTGATCGGTCACTTTCCCGCTGATGTGTGGACAGCTAGCAGTCACGGGTTTGCAGCGAGTGTCTTGGAGTGCTTGTGCTTGTGCTTGTGCTTGTGCTTGTGCTTGTGCTTGTGCTTGTGCTTGTGCTTGCTACAGCAGCAAAGGGATTGGACAGTCAGCTAG